GCGGTTCACGAGATTTTAAGAGTCCCAGCCTCTACATCTCTCTCGATGGCACACCCATCNCCGTCATCTCGCTTCGGTCCTAGGTCGACACCAGGGGAAGTAGGATGCGGGAGGTCGATTGTACATCAAAGCGTTTCACCATGCTGTCGATGTGCGCGGTTCACGAGATTTTAAGAGTCCCAGCCTCTACATCTCTCTCGATGGCACACCCATCAAACCATTCCCACTCTTGTTGAGAGAAGAAAGCAACTCCTCGCAATCCTCGTCAGACCCAGCCACCAAAATGTCATCCACATAAATCACGATAATCATCACCACGACTTCGTCTACCATCTTGCGGAAAACACACGGGTCCGCCTTGCACTGCTCGAACCCGTTCTCGACAAGCGTATCAGCAGCGTGGTACCCCCACTGCCTACCGCTATGCTTTAGACCATAAATCGCACGCTCAGCCTTAGCAATCTTATGCGACTTGTCCCCGCACCCAGCGGGGAGCTTCAGAAAAACCTCCTCGTCTAGCGTAGCGTGTGTATACGCCTGCTTCACATCCCAGTGATTGAGGTTCATGCCCTTCTTGCTTGCTACCGCAAGCATCAGTTTGATGGATACGGATAATGGGCAAGGGGAAAACGAATGGAAATAATCGACGTTCGGGATTTGCCAAAGCCCCCTAGCAACCAGACGCGCTTTGAACTTTTCTATCTTCCCTTCCTTGTTGGTCTTCCAACTAAAACACCACTTTGAGCCCACAGGCCTGCGCCCCTCTGGCGCGCTATGTACGAATGAAAACGTCCCCCTGCCCAAGTGCCCTTCAAACTCTTCCCTCATGGCCTGTTCTCACCCCTCTCTGTACACAGACTTGGCAACGCCGGCTACGGTCATGGGTGGGGGGTCTACTTCACTCGGACGCTTGCCAATGGGGGATTCACTTAGCTCGTGGGACGCCAGAGCCGTNGCTATGTACGAATGAAAACGTCCCCCTGCCCAAGTGCCCTTCAAACTCTTCCCTCATGGCCTGTTCCCACCCCTCTCGGTAAACAGACTTGGCAACGCCGGCTACAGTCATGGGTGGGGCTTCTACATCACTCGGACGCTTGCCTATGGGGGATTCACTTAGCTCGTGGGACGCCAGAGCCGTCTCGAAGGCGTCTGGCGAGTTGAGCATGAGGTCCACCGTACCCAGCAGGAAATCCTCCTCCCCTTGGCGCGCAGTGTGGGCCTCCTCCGCTCGCTCGAACAGCAACTCTCGCACCACCCTCGCCTCTAGCTCCTCCGCCACGTGAAGCATCGCCGGGAGCATCCAGCTGGTGAACCCCTCCGTCCTGCTGACGGGCAGGCTCGCCACCGAGGCGAGCAGGGCTTCGGCACTTGTCGGCGACGGGGGCGACTCGTACCTCGGGTTTCGGCGAGGGTTCTCCCTAGTGCGGCGGCTGGTGAGTTCCGCCGGCTTGTCGAAGCGGGCGAGCCGCCGGGCCTCTGGCCCACAGAGCGCCGGGAGATCCGTCTCGCTGTCGCTGCCACTGCTGCTGTCGCTGCCGCCGTCATCGCCGCCGCTGCCGCCGCTGCTGCTGTCGCTGTCGCTGCCGCAGCTTCGCGGCTGCTGCTGTCGCCGCCGCTGCCGCCGCTACCGCTGCTGCGGCGGTCGTCCTCGCCGCCACCCACATCGGCCGTGCCGGTCGACGTGGTAGATGGGGCGACGCTCGCGCTCTCCCTGCTCGAGGGGGCGCCATCGCCAGCGTCGCCCGCGCCCGACTCCTGGGGCGCGGCCGGCGGTGCCGCCGGCGCTGCGCGCGCGGGCGGCCCCGCGGGCCCTGGGGCTGCCGTCGTGCCAAGGTTGAAACCTGGTCCTCCATCCACAGGTTCTCTCTCCGCCCTCCCTCCACCTTGGTTCGACGCGCCCTCCCCAACCTCGTCCTCCTCAGTCGTGGATTCCACTTCCTCCTCTGCGATGGGAGGCAACGACTGGGGCAGGGCGTCGGGGGCGGCGGGTACGGATTGCCAGGTGAAGTTGCGAGTTGTGACCGCTTGGCGCTTTTCGTTCAAGATGCCCACGCAATCACGGTTGGTGCTGATTCCCGGGCCGAGGTAAAAACACTTTTGGGCTTTCGGCTCGTGTGTGCGCTTGACCTTGTATACGGCAGGTTTGAGGAACGGGTACGTCGCCCCCGGCGGGGGAGGGTGCCCGTGCCACATCTCGTACGGCGACTTCTTCTCTGGGTTGGATGTGGTGGAGGTGCAGTTCAGGGCGTTGCATGACCAAGCTATGGCCTCGGCCCAAAGGGATGGGTAGTTCGGTGCTCCGGGGTAAAGAGTTGGCGCTTGGATACGGGCGGCTAGTGCTGCATCCTTGATCAGACCCAGTGCTCTCTCAGCTACACCGTTGTATTCTGGGCTCTGTGCGGGGGTGAACTCCTGTTTGATGTAGTACTTCCGGCACACCTGGCTGATCTCTCCCTAAAAAAACTCTCCTCCATTGTCGGACCTCACGACCATGACATCGGACGGGGCTGCCGAGTTTTCTGCAAAGTACCTCTCGAATGCCTCAGCGGCGTCTGATTTGTGCTTCAGGAAATAGACACGTTTCCACCTTGTGTGATCATCCTTGACAATGGGAGTGTACCACTTCCCCCCCAAGCTCTGCACCCTAGCTTTTCCACTCAAATCCACGAAAACTCGCTGCAGTTTCTTAACTGCTCGGGTCGACGTTTTGTTGGGGATGGGCTTGGAAAGCCCCTTCGCCGTCGAGCACCCCAGGCACTCCCGGAGCTCGCCCACCAGCGTCGTCCCTTGCTGCTTCGCCGTGGTCCTCAGCAGCACCTCGTGGGAGTGGCCGTGCGCGCAGTGGAAATCGTTGATGTCAACGGGGGNCGAACATGTGGGTGGTAGCGCCGGTATCGGCAACATACCTACCCCGCCTAGCCTGCTCATCTAGTCGGGGAAGTGCGAAATTGTGACACTCGCCTGAGATGTCACCGACCACCAGCGCTTCTTCTGCCAC